AACAGCTCGCTCTCACTGTTATGCTTAATATAATTAACAACAATAAGGGTCTGATCACTTTAGGAACACATCAGAACGTCAATACTTTTTGAAAATTATGTTATGCAAAATGTGAGCAGGCTCACTGGTTATTTAGGGTGAAGAAACATGTACACTCTGCAGACACCTGGACTTGTGGAGATGGTACTTTAGCCCACCTGTTCATTCCCAGTCTCTAAGTTGCTTCAGTGAAGGGGAGCAGAGTTGACTACAGAGGGTAATTTTCAATTTTTGCTAATCTGGCTAACACTTACTCTGGTGAGACAGAGAACAACCCAGCACAGAGCAAATACAGCCTGGTGGCCAATGCATGAGAAAAAAAAAAAAATCACTTGTAAGCTCCAAGTAAGCTCAGAGTGAGTTGATTCTTTCAGTCAAAAAGGGCCCAAGGGGCATCAAGTTTCTTAAAAGCAGTCCAAGCTTCAGAAGCTCAACAGAGGATACAAACCTTGCAATGGGAAAGCCAAACACACAGGTCCCAAAGGGGTAACTTCAGCATTGCTAATAGGGAAATGAGCTCTTGTCACCTTTCAGACTCGCAAAAAGCATGACAGGTGCTAGTCCTGGCCCAGGAACAATTCCACTTACCATTTCCCCACATCCAGTTAGAAAATAAAGGCATTACAACCAGCTTCTTCCAAAAAATAACCTTTATTGTTTTGGTTGTAAATATAAAAAATGCATTGCACAATTTAACAGACCTACTGAAAAGTGCTACATATCAACAGCACAACAGAAGTTGTGTCATGCAACAGAACAGGAAACCTAGGCAAAGCAAGAACACAACCTGAAGTCCTCACATACCTCCAAGCTTCTTTTTTTTTTTTTAACAAGAATGAACTCCATTCACTTAAAACACGTTTACATACAAGGTTAGAAGAAGAAAAAGAGCAATTTATTCATTGTATTGTTAATTAAAAGGCTTGCTCCTAACATTGATATCTTTTGATTCTAAGCCTTATTCATGTTGGAAAAGTTCAGATATAAAAGCAGTTCAGACAATGGCTAGAAAGTCATTCTATTATATACCTAAGATGTGTTTCTTTGTAACTGAATCAAGTTTTATGGATCAATCTACAATTTGGTACTACTACTTCCGCTCTAACACAGTAAGTGAGCATGAAATCCAACCAAGGATGAAACAAAAGGAAACTTGAGCCCTTAACTGATGTTGTAGGAACAATATTGGGGCCCTATAAAAGAAAAAACCCCAAAACAAATGATGTCCTCTGAAACTCAGGTGTATAAAGGAGGAGTAATAGGAAAATTCCTGTTGCCTCACCTCATCAAAAAACCTCCTAAGAGTCATCAACAGTTGTCCATAGTTCTTCAAGATTGGTATGACTGAATCCCTAAAGCACCTAAAGCAGGTATCATCAGCCTTTTGATTTTGGGTGTTTTTCCATGCAATGAAGGTGGAAAGGAACCAAAAAAGAAAGAAAGAATGAAAGAAAGAAAAAGGTCAAAATAGTTAACAACCCGTTCTATTTTCAGCAGTATCTTCTAGTTGGCAACATCAAGGCAAGAATTATCCACTCCAGAAACAAAGTGAAATAGCTTTCAAATAATTTGTACTACAAAAGCATTATCTTACTGAATGTTTCCGCAGTGAGCTTCCCTCTCCTGCTCTCCAACTGCTCTTCAGGAGTTTTGGGCTTTAAAAGCAACCAAAACAAAATTTACCTGCCCCTCTCACCCCTATCACACTTGCATACACACACTCTCAAGGGAATGTAAAAAAAAACAAACCTGAAGATACAAAGTAAAGGGATATTATTTTCCAATGCAATTTGACAGCCCTTTATCTTTTCAAGCCATTCCAGATTTAAAGATTTAAGCATTTGCATATTTACTGGGTTTCTGTCAAACTTCTGCCATTAAATGAGGTACTTAATGCCTTCTTTGCCTCAGTCTTTAGCAGGCAGACTAGTTATCCTCAGGGTACTCAGCCCCCTGAGCTGGAGGACAGGGATGGCGAGCAGGATGAACCCCCCATAATCCAAGAGGAAGCGGTCAA